TGCACTAGGCAAGTTATAGCAACAGTATTCAATGCATGGACGAATGGTAGATTTGTAAATATGCAAGATGCACTCGGACGATTAAAACCTTCTTGCACGGCATAATGAACCACGTTTCCTTGCAGTAGATGCAGTTAATGTTTCAATATTTTAATGTAGTTATTCCACTTCAAGTCAGTTGAAAAAAAAAACGTAAAGGCAAGAAGGTGCAACAAGACTCGGGACAAGAAGCGCAGTTTTTTTATCGTGGTTAAATGAGAGAAGCTTAGTTTTGGAGACATTAAAATTCACAAGCCATTTCTTGCCTCAGTTAACCAATGATTGGAGGTCCTTTTCAAGAGCAGCGGCCAGGTTAACTTTGTCACCTGTGACGGATTTGCTATTGAGACAGGGGTAAACGGTACTTGAGAACTGATTACATGAGGAAGATCACAGATGAAGATCAGAAACAGCGTAGTATAGAGCTTTGTGTTGGGGGAGCACCCGCGTTTGTTTGAAAGGATCTGGAAGCGAGACATGACGCTAAATCTGAATTCGAAACCGTATGTAGGACATTTACAGAAGCTAGCAAAGGAAAGCGGGAAGAATGAACTAAACTTCAACTGTAAGTAGGTAGAATGCCAGCGAAAGGCACAGCCCAAGATGTCATCTATGAATTGGAGAGACCAAAATCAAGAATAAACATCTAATTATCGAGGACTTGTTTTAAAAGAGGAAGCACATTTGTAACGGATTCTACGCTGAGAATGTGTGATAGTTCCGTCAGTTTTAGAGTTAGTTTTCAGTCTTATCGTAAAGTTTCTTTGTCAAGCTGCTACTAAATTTAAAATCAGAAAGAATTCTGTAAGAACTCTGCGACGGTGGAGCTTATAAAGAAGGATTAGCTTAATGTTTTAAGTTGCATTTTTGTGTATCGTTTGTTGCTATAGTGATTGAGTTGTTTTTTTTTTTGTTTTTTTTTTTTACGGATTATCAACTCGTTATTGATTAAAGCTAACAAAATATTTGCATTGTGAAAATGATTTCTTTTGGCGAGTGAACATTGCATTAACAATTCTTGGGAGATGACTGTGATTTTTCCAGATAACAATCCAAGCATTTAACCCATAATTGGCGGGGGTTGGTGCAAGAATAAGCAAGAGGTAGAAAAAGAGTTCCATAATCGAGAAGCCCGAGAGGAGAACCTATTAGTATAGAACTTACGGTTACATCTAACAATTTCAACTGTAAAATGATGGGACCTAACTGCCAATCTTGTGCTGCGCTAAAATTCGTTAAATCTTGGTACCAAACAGGAAAGCTAATCAGAAAAAAAATTATCTTGAAAATATTTATAGAAAAGACATGACAGGTCAGGATTCATACCTTACCCAAGGGTATTTGAGCGCAAGTGAAAGTAACAAACAAGACTGGTATTCGAACTTGGATCTCCGATTTCTTAATCATAGCCGCTATCCACTGAAAAGATCACTTACACACGAAAGATCGTTTATACAAAAGCGTTCATCGTAGATTGTTTCCACATTATCTCAATGGATTGTTTTTGCATCCAATTTGATGGGGTGACCGCTTGGAAAGACCAGTTGCTGTAAGCTTGGATGAGCAGTTGGTGTAATGGATAATGTTACGGAATTGTTAATCAGAGAGCCGAGTTCAAATTCCAATTCCTGTTGGGTTTGTTATATTCATTTAGTCTTGGAAAATGTATCAACACACCTCTTCTCCCTAAATCTATAGGTTAATTAGCAAAACTCAAATCCCTAAATCAGGGGTTCCCAACCTATTTTGCGTTGCATTTTTACATGGAAAAAAAATCTTCCACCGTCCAACTGTAGAGTCAATATTCAAAAGCACACATTGATGGGTAAATTTTGGTTTAACGGGTACGTTTACTGCCTTGACAGATTAGAAATAGTCAGAGAGTTCCAATTCCAGTGGGGTTCGTTATATTCACTTACGCGTAAATACCCTGGTAAAAGGGTACCAATCCACATCTTCTTCCCTCACAGCTTAGTATCACCAAATCATTATTATCTAAAAAAATTCTTCCAACCTAAAGAATATTTTCTGACCTTAAATAACCTTTCAAAATGTTGATAAGACGTACAAAACAAATTTTGTGCTGGGTATAACGATAAACTACATCCGGTAGCAAGTCCTCTGATCGGGAGGTTTTGAAGAGAAGTGGTGTTGTTGTTAGTACCTCGGGGTGGTAGTACCTTTTAGGGTCCAAGCTATGGACAAATATTGAACCTCAGAACACTACGAACGTATAATAATATATTTTAATAGTAAAAATATCAGTAATACATTTAAAAAAAAACTAACAGCAATACGTTTCACTCTCGACAAAAAAAAAGCACTCTTTACTAAAATACGTTAATGAAACCTGATCTACAAACTGATTTTTTACAAAGAACACATATTCTATTCATATGAACCTATCCTAAAAATCTTGTTAAAATAACCTACTGTGGTGTTGATGTGCCGTAAAAGAAAA